GTGTTCACGGTAGTGGTGCTGGATCTCCTGCGGGAGCTGGGCTCGTTCACGGTAGTGGTGCTGGATCTCTTGCGGGAGCTGGGCTTGTGTTCACGGTAGTGGTGCTGGATCTCCTGCGGGAGCTGGGCTCGTGTTCACGGTAGTGGTGCTGGATCTCCTGCGGGAGCTGGGCTCGTGTTCACGGTAGTGGTGCTGGATCTCCTGCGGGAGCTGGGCTCGTGTTCACGGTAGTGGTGCTGGATCTCTTGCGGGAGCTGGGCTCGTGTTCACGGTAGTGGTGCTGGATCTCCTGTGGGAGCTGGGCTGTGTTCACGGTAGTGGTGCTGGATCTCTTGCGGGAGCTGGGCTCGTGTTCACGGTAGTGGTGCTGGATCTCCTGTGGGAGCTGGGCTCGTGTTCACGGTAGTGGTGCTGGATCTCTTGCGGGAGCTGGGCTCGTGTTCACGGTAGTGGTGCTGGATCTCCTGTGGGAGCTGGGCTCGTGTTCACGGTAGTGGTGCTGGATCTCCTGCGGGAGCTGGGCTCGTGCTCACGGTAGTGGTGCTGGATCTCCTGCGGGAGCTGGGCTCGTGTTCACGGTAGTGGTGCTGGAGGTATGACATAATTCATTAGTTATTGATTAACTAACTGTAACTTAACACAATCATAAAATTCTATTACATACTGATTTAGTTAACACATCTTCCTTAGTAGTTAACAGCAGTGAAGAAGTAGTTAACTTAAAGACCTAGACCATTTTTGGAGCACATGACTCGCCTGCTCTTTTCTTTGTTTTTCTAACCCATTATAGCAGTCAGCATCAAGTACCATATATCATTTTAAACAAGAGAACTTGATGTTTCAATCTAGCTCATTTAAATGACCAATTGTACATTTATTTTGTCTTAGAATGGATAAATTTACCAGATTTAAGAAAAACGGCAGCAGATTTCTTGTGGGTTTTTTTTACTCAGCTCAAACAAATCCTCCTGAAGTTTGGATTTTTTCCTTTAGAAAGTTGTACTTGGATATTCTAGATTTCCAGATGAAATTTTTACTACATGTAACAATCCCTAAGCAAGTTATAGCCATTTATTATAACATTATTATAGGCGATTTTCAGTGAAAATCTGGTGTTATTTACAATGTAGATGTGTACAAAAAAGTTCAGGAAGAAAAATAAATAGAAACATTGTAATAGAGCACTGAAGCAAATGTGACTTTATATATATTTATGTAGTTTCAACCGATCTGGGCTTGGGGGTGGGACTAAGCATCAACAAACTGCCCGTTTGGCTCAGAGGAACAAATCACATGGGTTTCTTTGACGAATCAATGCTTATCAAAACTTGATGATGCAATCACATTCACTACGGAGCATCTGAATGTCCAATCGCGATTAACCCGATACCAAAATAAAGCCGCGAATCTCCTCTTTATGGGACTTTTTAAAGCATACAAATTGGATTAGTGGTTCAAAAGTTATTAAACATTTAAGAACAACAGTTATTTTTATGCCGCCGGCGGCCGTTTAGGTCTTTAAGGGTTAATGAAGAATTACCAACTAGTTCTTCAATAATTCCTTATTAGTTATGCAGTATGCATATGATCACCAGCAGCATGTATAGTGTTTTGGATACTAGTGTGCTCACGTTGTGCAAAGTGATAGTTCACCCAAAAATGAAAATGTCTGTCATCATTTACTCACCCTCAAGTCGTTCCAAACCTGTATGAATGTATTTGTTCTGCTGAAAAAAAGCAGAATATGAGTAACCAAACAATTGTGGGGCACCGTTGACTTCCATTGGCGCCTGAATGACAGAATTTTCATTTTTGGGTGAACTGTCCCTTTAACTAGCTCAACCAGCAAGACTAACACAAAATGATTGCAAAAATGAAAACATGCACAAACTGATTTGGCATGGACATTCATTCTAAAGAGGTATTTTCATAGGGCTAAGGCCTGTGGGTAGTTTTTACTCTTTTGCGATCTCTCATTTGTCCCATTTTCTACACAAGACTAGAATGTTGCTAACCTTTTTGACATCATGTACCATTTTGAAATGTTCCCTTAATCACTGCAAAACCTGCACACATGCATGTTCAAATGTGACACTTTGCATGCATTTCTTGTAATTTTGTCACTTGTCACAACTGCTTGTTGAGGCATCTTCACTATTCTACTCATCTGGCTGAAATACAAAATGGCCCAAAAAAGGCATGTTTTTTATTTCATTTTTTATGTTTTTTCATTTCACCTGCCAGATGAGTATGGAAGCCTGCAGTGAATACAAGCAATTCAGTAATAAGATTACAAGAAATGCATGTGAAATCTCACATCTGAGCATGTGCATGTCTGAACATTTTGTTCCATAAAAGTTTTATTCAGATTCAGAAAAAAGTGCATCATCAAAAACAGACCAAAGTGCACCTTCCAGCTTAAACACACACTTTAAAACAGGCTGCATGACACTGCAAGATATTGTTTGGAGAATGACTTGCATATTCCTTTATTTTACAGTACATGCACTTATGTGTACTTACCTAGGAAAGTACTGGTTAAAATGAGGAAACTATGGGTTAAGGTTAGGTTTAAGGGTAGTACTTATTTATTACCCAGTTATTGTAATTACTTTAATAAGTACATGAGCATGTGGAACAGGACTGTAAAATAAAGTGCTCCCAATATTCCTCAAGTAAACAACTGAATTAAATAAATTCATAATAATAATCTCTGCCAATAACCATGTCATAATAATAACCATGCCAATGGTTGCCAAACATCATATTAAGAATAATCTCAACCATGAGTACAAAAGTTGAAAAGTTAAAGAATATAAAAACAACCCATCTGCCATCCAGAAAGCCAAAACAAGCCCTCTGAAACGGTTACCAAAACCCAAATATGAATTTTGAGGGCAAAAACAGAACAGACAGAAACTTGAACTTAAAATTGTGCCTTGGCTTTAAAATAAATGTAATAATACTTTTATTCAGCAAGTATGCAATAATTTGAGCAAAAATGATAGTAAAGTCATTTTTAATGTTACAAAAAATATATATATTTCAAATAAATGCTGTTCTTTTGAACTTTTTATTCTTCAAAGAATCCAGAAAAAAATGAATCATGGTTTTCTAAAAAATACTGTTCAACTGTTTTCAACATTGATAATAATGTTTCACCAAATTAATGATTTCTGAAGGATCATGTGACACTGAAGCCTGGAGTAATGATGCTGAAAATTTGGAATATTTTCAAATAGATAATACCTATTTTAAATTGGAATAATATTTCACAATATTACTTTTTTTACTTTTTGATCAAACAAATGCAGCCTTAGTGAGCAGAAGAGACTTCTTTCAAAAACATTAAAAGATCTTATGGTCATGTATATCAGTAAAAGCAGCGTAAAAACTGATCATAAACGTGATGACAGGTGAAACGAGGTTAAACGGTGTTGTTGAGCCACGTTTTGACTGCCTGCTGGTGTGTATCAGAACCTCTGACACCAAAAAGAGTCTCACTATTGCCTCACCAACCAGCTGTCCCAACACATGTGATTCATTTTGTGCACATTTTGAGGAGACAGGATATGTAATGGTTTCGATTAGCCGGGCTGAAGCATCAATGAAGGCGCAGATGACCTGTAGTTGTGAACGTGTCCTTGGGTGCCCCGTAAAAACAGACAGATGAGGCGACCTCGATTTCACTCTTTCTACAACAGCTGTTATTTAGCCCAGACTTGTTATGCAGAACGAAGCAGATCTCCTGCTCTCTTTCTTAATGTTACTGTAGGACAGTATTAGATGCAGCTGTTCTGGTGCCTTCTGCGTTTGCTTCATTCAGGCCGACTCCTGGTTCTGCTTTAATGCTGTTGGACTTTTAAACTCAACTCACTCAGCCCTTGAACACAAATGGACTTTTAATGCAACAAAGAGGTTTTTCTTTTTCTTGGGCTAGCCATAAATAACAGACGGTAACACATCCCTGCTAAGAAGTCGAAAAAGATGGATGGCTGGATTGTAGCTTTGCTTTATTTTGGCAGGCAATTATAACTATAAAATATTGATTATCAGAGGTTATAGAGGCTTCTATTTGAGGATATTTTTATTCACAAAGGAGAGCCGGACTTCCCATTTAGATCATCAGCGCTGTGAGTTTTGTTAGCGTCTCTATGCCGCTACGCCAAGAAAAATGCCTGTTATGCCAAAAAGACACAGTCTTGTATCTTTTTTTGACAATTCCAGTAGACAAAGATCATTTCTGCCATTATTCTTTAGGTTTGACAGCTCAAAAACACCTGCTATATATATATATATAAATCATATAAAAAATGATCACAAAAATAAGTCTGAAACTTTGTACCGCTTACATACTTTTTATTAAAATCTCTATGAATAAATATATTAATTCAAGAGCATGTTACACTAATGATGTTTGATGATGTGCTAAGCAAACAATATCAAATGGATTAATTTGATGCATTATTGTGTGTTTTGATGCTTAAACAGAAAAAAATCACCTCTTAATGAATTTTTTTTTTAAAGTCTTTTTACAGTAAAAATATCTATAAAAAACCCTTAAAACAAGATTAAGCTATTTGATATGTATGACATATTAAACTGTCAATATATTTATGTAATATATTACATTTATATATACATATAATTTTTTCCCTTATTTTAATTATTAAAAAAGCCAGTGTGGTAGAGCAAATACAGTCATATTAAAGATACAATCTATAAAAAATAAGTCTTATGTAATGTTGCTACTCAATTGGATTTCTTTTGTTTCATATGTTAACTGGACAATAAAAAAATAGTCATTAAGATTTTTATTGCAGTGTTTGCAATATTGTTCATTCAACTTTAAACCTGAATAACCCCAATCTCAATGCATTTCTCTGTCTTGTGGTTCAAGATCTAATTTGTGCCAGATATCGGTGAAAAAAATGGTGATTGTTTCACAGCGTAGATGCGGTCATATGACATCCAGCAGAACCCCTCTTGCTTCATACAACAACACCCTGTTTTCGAAATCTAGCTCAATCTAATCATTACATAAACATCGACTGATCATACATTATAATAGCCGATAGTGATTATGACATCTGAAGTGTGTTAGTGACGTGTCTTTGTTTGTTCATCAGTGTATGTGATCGTGTTTATTTGTATTTCTCTGAACGTGCTGATTAAAGACAAAACCCGCTTTTTGTTCACCTCGTGTTCTCTGGTCCGTCAACCGCTCTCGCTCTCGTCCGCAGTTCACATCATCTCTTCACAGCCGGATGGATTTGGTGGTTTTATATTCAAAGTTTTCACGAGATGGTTGATTAGCTTCACACTGTAAACACAAAACAAGAGAACAGAACAGATCCAGAAGATGTTGCTTGTTCTCCGAGCAAGTGGAGATAACATTCAGCTGCGGTAATCATAACATGTCATAAACACTTAGCCATCTCTAAAACATAGAAATGGTGAAATCACTCTTGCTCTGGAGAACATCAAACTGGCAATACAACAAAGACTTTAGAGCTGGAAAAGTTGTATCCACAGGACACTAATAAAAAGTACAATGGATTTAAGTTTTTGTGGACGTGTATCATGAAAGTATGTTTTTTGGGATTAGGTGTTCAGAAAAACTATACTAATAGTGATGCTTGACAATGAGAACTAAAAATAAGAAGAAAGACGCATGCCTGAAACCTGGAATAGCAGAAAATGGATACTTGCCCCTTTTTAAAACTTACAAAAAACGGAGCATTGAATGATTTACAATCCAATTTCATGATGGAACAAATAAATGGAACATTTTTAGGAGATTTTCACTGACTAATAGAACAAATTAGAGGCCTGACACAAACACTACCAAGTCTGAATGCCAAAACACAGCGTTTTTCCCAGTTATAAATATAATGCAGCAAAGCTGTTTTGTTGCCATTGTTTTGTGCTGTCAAAAAGGGTTTTTTGGTGTTGTGTAATGTTTGCTGACAAACGTTTTTGACTATATCGATAGGGACTTGTTAAAAATGGAAAGTCTGGTACAAATCAAAAACAACTTCCTGCGTCTCTTTCTCTCTCTTAAATCACCGAGACAGAAACCGACAGGTCAGTTTACCCTTAATTGAATCTTGCTCCGATTTTATAGGAATCTTTCCCATAATCGCTTCCCATCGAGGCTGCCAGTACACATCATTCTCAAGAGGCCATTTGAAACAAATGCCAACATGTGAGTGAAAAGCAGTTGACTTATTTATTTAAAGCATTTTTTGTTAAATATTTTCTACTCTTCTAGACAACTGACAGTGAGAGATTCATAGGTTGATTTCCCGGAAGAGCGTAAACACTATGTGAACACATTGCTCTGTTTGTTTGGGTAATTCCTGGAGAGAGTGATCCGTTCACATTCCCATTTATCTCAATGGCAGCCACTCATCTGGGTGACAGAAACAGAAAAGTGATTCTTTCAAGAATCTGGGACGGGGGGGGGGGGGGGGGGGGGGTTATGTCAGTGGTTATTTAAAATGGCTGTCAATGGAGACAGAGGCTTTTGGGTTCTGATGGTGTAGTAACAGCATCCACCAGCAGGGAACAATGCTAACCAACCAAACTTGAACCCTTGGATGCAACATTTCAAGTCCATTGGCACGGGTTTGGGGTGGGACTACCTTATTTTGTCTGACCAATGGCAGACAGAGAGTGTTTACAAGCCCACTTGCTTCATGATAAACAAAATATACTTTATACTGTATACGTCTGACACTGTGAATGCATTTGAATGGATTACAAACTGAAATTAGCTGAGTTTTTCAACTTACAGTAACACACATTGATGGCTGTGAGATCTGTCTGTCTGTCTGTCTGTCTGTCTGTCTGTCTGTCTGTCTGTCTGTCTGTCTGTCTGTCTGTCTGTCTGTCTGTCTGTCTGTCTGTCTGTCTTTAACTGGTATGCTAAACTTTAAAAAAAAAGTTGAAAACAATGACTTAAATGGGCATTTATGATGAAAGCATAACCTTCGGTTTAGTTTAGTCCTCAATGTGATTCAGATGTGCTCAGAAGAGATAAATTAGGAACAGAATATATTTTTTTATGAAATCTCCAGTGAATCTCGATTCTTAGGCACAAACCAGCTGCGTAGTGACCACAGTCTGGCCTCAGAAAAACTGCAGACGGGGAGGAACAAACGTGAGCACATAAACTAAGACAAAAAGAGACCGATATGGGCAAATTTACATTCTAAAGATTCTATTAATCACAAATGAGATGTTTCATTTCGTAGTTGCAAATTCACAGAGAAAAATGAGACTTTCTTCACAAAAAAAGCATTCTCACGTGTCTCATCTAGAGTTTCAAAAGAGATCTGAACTGTCTCAAACCTAAATCCTAAAATCTACAATCAAAAGTCAGAGATATCAATATGAACTCCAACAAGAGCATATGCTCTGCTCTCCACATTCAGTTGTATAGCTCTATACTCTTGCTGTATGTCAACAATTGTCTCTATTTGTGTTCTATGGAGTCCTTTAGGACTTTTAGTAGGAACATTTGAGTCCATTAAAGTCTCAAAGAGCAACCTCCGAGTCATTAAACATTCCTCTGGGATGTGACACAGGTATATTCAGAGCTGTAGAGACTCTATTAGACATATGGTCTTCATTGAAGTTTGACTGACTGCTCTAATACTCTTGTTCCTGGTTCTTCTTTCTGTTGTTCCTGGCCCTATTACACAACACATAACATTTTTTTCAATAAAAGTACAACTGGAAAAAGTATTTTCAACACTTTCTGGAAATCATCGCCTGCACTGGGCCAGACATTGGCCATTCACAGGTTGTGCCATGCTGACCAGCATATTAATGTTGGGTAAATGAAGTTGAAGTAGCTTCATTCACAGCTGTGCCATATTTAAGCATGGCAACATTGCACATACCGGGCATTTTCTGCTCTAACCACAAGCTTGGCCTTCAAAAGCTCAGACACACGTAAAGCACAGGGCTGAGAGCAGCTTTATCTGCATGCATGGCTTCACTCACAGGGGAATTTCAACCTCTAAACTCTTTGAATTCACCTAATCGCTGTTTATTCTGTTTGTGCACTGAGGATATGCTTCAGTCCCTGAGACGCTGAAAGGGCTCGACCGAATGCTTTTGATTTCGCTCCATTTTTATGGGTTGTCCCGTAATTCATATGTTTCTCATATGATGCAGGATGTGTAGTGCTTTACCAAAGCAGATCCATGTGCAACCAAGTCGCCTGTTTTCTGGTGAAACAAGAACCTGATCTCATGGATGTTACGCTAGACGCTCAGCCTGTTTAAAGTCAAACTAGGACAGAGGTGTTATCATCTATCCCTTCATCTGTCCATATGTTAATCTATCCATAATTATTTTTGTTGGTCCATCCATCTATCTATCTATCTATCTATCTATCTATCTATCTATCTATCTATCTATCTATCTATCTATCTATCTATCTATCTATCTATCATTCATTTTGTTGTCCATCCGTCCGTTCATCTGTCGGTCCATCCATTCATCCATTCATCCATCCTTTTGTCGGTCCATCCATCCATCCATCCATTGCCATCTGTCCATCCATCCATCTGTCGGTCCATCCATGCATCCGTCCATCCGTTGGTCCATCCATTCATCTATCTGTCGGTTGGTCCACCCATCCTTCCATCTGTCGGTCCATCCATCCATCCAGCCTTCTGTCCATCCATCCATCCATCCATTTGTCGGTCCATCCATCCATCCGTCCGTCCGTCCGTCCCTCCATCCATTCATTCATCAATCCATCCGTTGGTCCATCCATTCATCCATCTGTCGGTTGGTCCATCCATTCATCCATCTGTCGGTTGGTCCACCCATCCGTCCATCTGTCGGTCCATCCATCCATCCATCCATTCATTCATCAATCCATCCGTCGGTCCATCCATCCGTCCGCCCATTCATTCATCCATCCGTCCGTCCGTCCATCCGTCCGTCTGTCCATCCATCCATCCATCCAATCATTCATCAATCCATCCATTGGTCCATCCATTCATCCATCCATCCGTCGGTCCATCCATCCGTCGGTCCGTCCGTCCATCCATCCATCCAATCATTCATCAATCCATCCGTTGGTCCATCCATTCATCCATCTGTCGGTTGGTCCACCCATCCGTCCGTCCATCCATCCATCTGTCGGTCCATCCATCCATCCATCCATCCATTTGTCCGTCCATCTGTCCGTCCGTTATGTTTGTCATCCCCAGGAAGTCAAGAAAGCATGTACATATAAATCTATCTTATATACTGTAAGAAGGTTATACATAGAAATGTGCAAATATTTAGATATTTAGTTTGATCCTCTGCGGTTGACAATGAACATGGATATAAATTTAAACAAATCTTTCAATTGTTTTTTGAAAAACAGATATTTAAATAATATTTTTAGATATATTTTTAGAGTTTAGGAACCTTATTGTGTAGCCTTTTATATGCCAGATAGGATTTTAAAAAGAAAAGTATAATCCACCGTCCAAGCGGTGGACGGTGGGGTGTAGAGAGAAATCTTTCTCTGCTGTGGGAAAACATTAAAGGATTCGCATTAATGAGTATGTTCAACATAAGATTAAACCTGAACAATCTCCTACTTTGTTTAATCAAAAGAAAAAAAAAAGAAAAAAAAAAGAAAACAGACAAAGGTTATGAGATGTTACAGTTTTAAATCCATTACCAAAGAGCCAATGAGCAAGTGACATCCAAATTAAACAATCAAGACACAGACAACGATCATTGGAGACAGTACGAGAACAAATGGAGAGGAGAGATGAAAAGAGAAAGGATTGAGGGAGACAAAACAAGATCCGTGATCCCTGCTACCATCATTGTCTTTTAGCCGAAAAAGAGTAGCATTTATAAAGTTGAAGGGATTCTCCGGATTCATGGAGAGCCGGCATAGTAGAATTCATCCAAGCTAAGAAGAATAGTTGTGCCAAGTTCAAGCCTGTTGTAACTTTTGTCATTAAATAATTATTACATTTTTTTCTGAATACACATGTGATGCTAAGTGTAAATGAGATAAACACTTTATTACTTTGTTATGTTTTGTGTTTATTAGGAAAGATTGCAATGATGTGCACCCCTGATATACTTCAATACATACTTTGATTTCGTTGTTGTTTTTATCCAGCCTTGTCAATTAGCCTACTTGAGTCATTGTTTTTCTGAAGTAAACGAACTAGAAATATGACATCTGTGTAAGCATCTCAGTTTTCTATAACTTTCACTATCAAAGCCCTAATCAAATCCTCTCCGGGGCCCAGAGGAAAAAACATTGTTTGTGTTTCAGTGTGCAACTCTGCAACAACTTAGTGTGCACTCTGCAGATGCTGTGAATCAAACTGGTTTGAATCTAGCGAGTCTAACTAGTCTTCAAGTGTGCATGCAGAAGAGGAGAGCAAGGCAATGGAGTTAGGATTTTGACCTGGATTGACTGCATGGTACCACAACGACATAAATATTTATATTCAGAAAATACTCACACGACAAAGCATCAAATGAAAGTATGCAGCCGTTCTCCAGAGGACCCATTTACTGGAGCCGTCTGAATATAATCCATCTGGTTCATTCGCTCTTTGGCGACAACAGGGCTGGACTGGGTTTTGTAAAACCAAGTCTGAACAGACTGAAAGGCTACTGAAATAAAATAAGCATGCTTAATATAATGAGTTTTTGAGACGTATGAGTCATATTGAGCCGTCTGCAGCTGTAAACTGTATGGTCTGTTATATCCGGTCCTCTCTTGAACCCATGGAGTTATTTTGAGCACCAACAACTCTATAGTTTCATGTCGTCAGACTTACTGGCTTAACATAAGGCACACCATGCATCTTATTCTAATCTTTTTGATTGAAATAAAGCTGAAATAAAATATAAATATTAGATGAAAAACTTAGAAATGTTATTGCCTAATTGGCAACAAACTGAAATGGAATAGGTTTAAGTACAATTGCTAAAACTAAAATAAAATAAAGCTAAATGGAAAAATTTAAAAACAATAAAAATGACAAAACCACATGATAAAATTACTAAAACTTAAACTAAAGTTAAAACTGAAAATTAATAAATTCTATAACAATATTTAAATAGTAAAATAACACTGCCGGGAACAGGCATTCAAAATATTTATTTAAAAAAAAAATAATAATAATAATAATAATTTTTGCAAGCAACAGATAAATGCAACAAATATGACATGTATAAAAGTAGAATTTTTGCCAGTGACATATTTGGACAATTTTCCTGCACCTACAGAGGGATTAGTCACATGACATTTATATCTCAGGTGATTGGCTCAAAACCTTAAATGCTCAGAACTGATCATCCATGAGCAAAGCCGGCAGATTTAGATAGCTTTACCCAGGTATATAGACATCACAGATGCAAATCATGCAATTTTTAGAGACGAGTAAATCCAACAAAATATATTTAACATACGAGAAAAAAAGGTGCTCAAAAATATCTTGTAAATACGTATTGATTATGTTCTTCTAATGTAAGTTTCTTTGGTTAAAAGCATCTGCTAAATGCATGTAAATGAGTGTCGTTAAACCACACTGTTAAAGGGATTGTCTTTGTGTTTAACAGAATAAATAAAGATTTATAACGACATGAGGGCGAGAAATTTACAGACATTTTTGAGTAACGTGTCCCTTTAAACATCATCCAAAGATTCCATAACAATTACACAAACCTCCAGTGACTAAGTTCTTCCTCGAACGTGCGCAAAAGCCTGTGAACTACACATCAGAAGATCGTAAGCGATCGGTGGACATGCCAACAAAGTCAGGGACAAAACACCTGAGATGCGCGCTTACAAAAACTACACACACATAAGCCTCTACTGGTTTCTTAAAGCAGAATCTAAATCGCAAAGCATCCCTGAAGGACAGAAGAAGCCTGTTTAAAATATCAAACTAGTCTCTGCTCATCAGCGAGATACACTTACACCAAAGAGTAAAGCTGAGCGAAACAGTTGAGTGCTGACGCACCACATGAGAGAAGCGGTGACTCATGGTGGAGCTTGTTAGTGGTTGGAGTGACTGAGCAAGACGAGACAGCTTTATGTCCTTTGAACATATTTTTGGGGCCCATTAGCAGAACCTCCAGCGGTCTCTCTGCAGTGTCTCTGTCTCTGTCCTTCTTTTTTTTGCAATGAAATATTCATATGGACCCTTTCCGTATCACTAGATTAGACTAGACTAGTAATTATAAGCACAGAATTGACAGAATTTTATTCAGGCTAAATATTTTGGGCAAATGAATCATCACAATTCATTGCACATCAATAATTTCTGATAAATTAAGTTAATTCACAACTTAATCCATTCTACTTCGGTAAATGCGCATTCATATTTACCTTTGTTTGGCAAGTTTCGTGGATGATTGGGTATTTCGTGTGAGGGCGAAAGATTTCCCCTCGCAGATTTCACAACGGGTTCAAGTTGCTCACATGGATTTGTCACTTTGACCAACAGAAAGCTGCTTGGTTTGGAGCGGGAATTGAGTTTATCTGATGGGAATCATCAAATTTTGAGGAGAGATAAAAAATAAGAGGGAAGTGACAAACAATTTAACATGCACCGATGAATATCCGAAATATATATAATAAAAAAAAAAAATTAAATAATAAAAATGACATAATTACTAAAAAAAACTAAAATGAAAACTGAATGTAAAAATAAATACTAATTCTAAATATAAATAATTACTATAATAGCATATAAATGCAAAGTTCTATCATGAAACCCAGTTGGTGCAGGCTGATAGTCCTTAACTCAATCTGCTTGCAATCACATCATTCTCTATAGGGCACAGCTGATTGGTTCCTGATGTATCAGTAGCCAATGGAGAGCCTAAGTCCCTCCCCTCCGCTTCCGGCTCATGGGACCTTATTTCGGAAAAAATATGTATGGCATACCTGTCAACACTCCCGTTTTTCCCGGGTTTCTCCCGTTTTTTAGCCCTATCTCCCGGACCCCTCCCGGTTTATTATTTCTCCCGGGAAACTGCCGTAATTTGCATGGCCCAAACTCCTTTATGAATAATCGGACCAATATGTTTGTCTAATGTTGACCAGTTGCCAGATCTTGTATTAAATGCATTATATTCACACAATCCACACATCATATACAATTTCAACCCGTTTGTCATCTCAACCTGGCAAGTGGCAACCTATACCCCAGTTGCGCAGTCGCGGAGAGCTCAACCCGAAAGCGAGCACCCCACCGAACGGTCCCCGCACAAATCTCCCGGATTTTGAAAACCAAATGTTGACAGCTATGATGTATGGTAGTCAATGGCGAGAGACAACTTATCTTTTTATTCCGTCTGAACTGTGCCCTGAATTACACATATGATGTTTGTCAATTTAAAAGATAATTTTGTTGAGTTTGTCATGAAACAGAAGAGTAACATTTAGTTTTATGTGAAAATCGCTCAATGAACTACATCTCCCGGGAAGCAAAACAACGAGCGAGATCCGCTGCTCGTGTGTGTGCAGTCTGGTACAAAACACTCAGGCATGACGGCGTAACGTTACGATTATAACGTAAGACTATAGAAAAAATGACAGACGTTAGCTTCAGTAAAGTTAGCTTCACTCATTGAGAGAAAATGTGCGCCTTTGTGGTTTGTAGTCTTTGTAATTACGTATTTTCACAGTCTTATACCTCAACAGTTTTACATCAAACTGCGACTTTCTTGAATTTAAAATGTATCTTTTAAATTGACAAACATCATATGTGTAATTCAGGGCACAATTCAAATGAGATCAAAATATTTGTTGTCTCTCACCATTGACTACCATTTAATATTTTTTCGAAATAAGGTCCCATGGTGGTCGACCGGAAGGGGAGGGACTTAGGCTCTCTATGAACTCGCTTCTCAACCTTTAATACTGGTCAGCATTTGCTGTAGCAGTTGCAGTGCGCTTTCAGAAACCCTTCACCTTCCCCAGCTCCACCTGTATAGATCTGATACGGGTATTTCATGAATGCTGTATTGTACAGTAGCAGCATGTCTTGTATGTATTGGCAGTAGCAAATCCCGTACTTGTTCTACAGCAGCAACAACAGCGGCAGCGTAGCAGATCTATTCAGCCAAGACCAAACATATCAACAGAAAGATAAATGCAAGGTACCACAGAAAGCTGCTTGGTTTCTCTGTAAGCTACACTACTGACAATAAACAATGGACCTTATTGTGGACACAAAATTCTGCCAACTAAAATCAGATATTCAACAGAAAACAAACGTTTAGCGGGACATGATTTATTCCAATGGGAATCGTCAGATTTTGAGCAGAGATGTTGCAAAAATAAGAGGACAGAGCGACAAACAATTCTACATAACATGATGAATCGCTCACAATATGACAAGGGACACATATTAATCAAGCAAATACAGTCACTTCGACTTCAAAAAGTTTGCAGACTTTGTGTTTTTAATATTTCAACCACAAGCACAAACAATAATATGTAAGCCACATTGTCATACAGCTGGTCAAAAGAAGAAAGACATTCGATTGGTTAATGTTTCCCAACATCCAGGTCATTCTCCAACATCTAGCAGAGCTTAATTAAATGCAACTGGACCTCTATGTCCTTCGTTTCAGTTGGAGTTGTTTTCATGAGCTGACAGGGATTTTCTGGCATTGAACCTCTCTCCTTAATGCAATGTTATGAAATGATGTGGTATTTGCCTCCCTGAAGGTGAGGATAATGGTCATTTGGGAGTTGCCTCCTTGGTAGCAAACAAAACCCCACCCTGCACAACAGAACAACATAAAACCTTCAGCGAACACACTTGCTGATGGACACGCAACTCAAGACCACATATTTTCAGAACAGCGACATCTTACATGAAAAAACATGACACAATGGGCCCACCAACGTTTCATACTGTCGTCAAATGGCATTTGAAAGAAGTGGGCTGGAGAACTCTAAACATCTTTTAAGGAATAAGACCCCGGAGCATGAACTGAGTCATAAGAACTCCAAACCACTTCCCAAATATCATTAATCTCAATTAGTGTCTGGATATAAGCCGTCAACCCAGTCAACTCAACCATTTCTCTGCATTCTTGTCAGCGGCAGATCATTGTAAGACACATCTCTCAACGAAACTACATCATCTGGACACAAAACGCATATTTTGCCAATCAAAATTAATTTGGCATAATTCAATTTTTTGAAAGCAAGATGTTTATTATTTTTAAAAAGCTCTTAAAATGTGAAACAGACTGTCTTTTTGCCTTTGATGTCATAGCTCATAATTTTCGTCAAGGGAACTGAGTGGTCTTGTGGTGCCATCAGCCAATCAGCATCATTATGACATCATTTCCTGCAAATCCAGAGACAAATGGTATTTGGCTGAAAAACTGAATGGCATATTTCAAAACTTTACGAGATAAATTGAGAAAATAGTGTGAATGCTAAAGGACAAACCTGGCTGTTGTTGCAGACTCCTTGTTCTACATAAGTGTCAAAAATATATATTTTGAAATATTATTACGAAGCAAAATAACGTTTTTTTATTGCCACGGTTTTCAATATTTTCTATTGATGCAAAGCTGAATTTTCAGAAGTCTTCAGTGTAACATGATCCCTCAGAAATTATTCCAATATGCGGATTTGCTGATGTTGAAAACTTCAAAAGTTTGGGGTAAGATTTTTCGCTAACACTTTACTTGAAGGGGTGTGCATAAGACTGACATGACACCTTCATAATCATAACATGACACATGTCAAGAATATGAAGGAGGTTTTATGCATGTTTATGACAACTGTCATTAAGTGTCATTCGCTCAATTATGACATTTTAATGCAAATATGACATTGTTTGAGATGTCTTTGTCATGACAACTTGACATTACTAAGACAACACAACCCGTCATAAATATCTCATAAACATGACATAGCAGATTAATTATCAAACTTAAGGAACCACTTAGCTTTATGGGCTAACATTACATTAAACTGTCATGTGGTTGGTTTTGACATTGGCTGTCATATGGCCATTATAACTGTCATGAATATTTTTCTTGACCTCAACTACAGTGGTACAAATTGAATTTGTCATTAAAATGTTATAATGGCCTCATGACAGCCAATGTCAAAACCAACCACATGACAGTTTAATGTAATGTTAACCCATAAAGCTAAGTGGTTTCTTAAGTTTGATAATTAATCTGATATGTCATGTTTATGACATATTTATGACGGGTTGTGTTGTCTTAGTAATGTCAAGTTGTCATGACAAAGACATCTCAAACAATGTCATATTTGCATTAAAAATGTCATAATTGAGCGAATGACACTTAATGACAGTTGTCATAAACATGCATAAAACCTCCTTCATATTCATGACATGTGTCATGTTATGATTATGAAGGTGTCATGTCAGTCTTATGCACACCCCTTCAAGTAAAGTGTTACCGGTTTTTCTAAAGAAATTAATACTTTTATTCGACAAGACATTCAATTGATCAAAAGGCATGACAGTAAAGGTATTTATAAAGTTACCAAAGAATCCTGAAAACATGCATCAGTGTTTCCACAAAAATATATCAGCAAAAACTTATTTAAACCTTGAAATTACATTTTTAAATAAATTCAAACAGAAATCAAACAGTTTTTACTGTATGTTTTAATCAAACAAATGCAGCCTTGATGAGCATAAGAGACTTCTTTCAAAAGCTAAAATTGTAATGATTCTAAACTTTTAACCGGTACTGTATAAATATTATATTAAACACAATACTAACATTACATGCAACCTGAAAATAATCTCATCTCATGCAAAGCTGGGACACCTACAGCCAACGTATGATTATGAGTTTCTGCAGGTGCTGACATCCTCGACCAGCGGAAAGAAAAAAGAGGATCATTTCAACGGGATTTGAGCTGAGCTCAATAGCAGTATTAAATTCGCTGTATTTTCATAATCACTTTAGAAACTGAGGCATGAAACTTTCTTTGGGCCAACAGTGAAACGTTAACAGGCTTCAATGGGTCTTCTGAGGACTCAAACACACAATACGCTCCTGAAATCTGTAGAAAAGCGAAGGAAACTTCTACCAAGACACGCATGCGGTCTGAAAGCAGTGATCAGACTGGCTCCTGCAATGCCATGACAGCGTCTGCTTGACATGACTGAAACCTGCATCACACACGGATACACATTCCCTCTTCTGTGCTTTAATTCTCCCTGTTATATACGCAAACATATTTGTACTGTAGACACTGTGAGACTCAATTATTCAGAGATGTGGTAAAAATGATGAAAATACTTACATGCACATAAACTGCTGTCAAGGTAGCCAGAAGAATGAGTTGCTGCTTTAATCTTCAGGCTATTTGTGAAAATGAATCTTCTTTAAATTTCATTAACTGGATTTACAGTACAGCCAAAA